ACCTCAGCCTCCCAAAGGCGCGGGATTACAGGCTGAGCCACTGAGCCCAGCTTGGCAGGCCTTTTCAAAGGCCACCACTACCTGGCCCCAGGTGTTATTCTCACTGCTGTCCTGGGCCTTTTGGTCCAGACAGCCATCGTTATTTGCGAGTCCCTTGGCACTCTCCTTCCCAGTTCTCTCCACTAATTCTATCTAATCCAAGTTGGACTGAGTTCACCACTCCTCCCCAAACGTTTCCTGATCACTCCAGCCAGAAGGCATCTCACACTTGAGAGTCTTTGTAGTACACACTTAATCCTCAGCCACTCGTGCATTCAGCAGACTTGTTCTGTACCTGTTTCTGTGCACACCTCCGCATCCTACCCTCCTGCTCCTACCACCAGAGTCTCCTGGAACTAGCGCGAGTAGGTGCCCAGTGAAAACTACTTAAGGGAATGGAATGAGAAATATGGAAGGAAGAATTTGTGGAATCTGAGATCTAACTAGTTATGGGGCTGGAAGGGGAGCATTGACTCCAAGATGACCCTGAGGTTTGAGGATGAGGAAAAAAGAAATACTTATTCAAAAATGAAGGTTGGGAAGGCAGCTGACTTTGGAGAGTGTGGTTTTTGGACATGTTGAATTTGCAGGTGATGAATATGATTTTTTTCCTTCTAGTTATTTGAATTTTCCTTCATTTTAATCTGATCTGTGATTGATTCCCTGAAGAGACCACTATCCTGAGACCAAAAGATTGTTAAAGAACAGTAAAATATAGTTTTAAGAAATGTCTGTGGCGTCATCAGAAAGGGCCTTTTGAGTGCGCGAGAACCTAGTTGTGGTTGGAATCATTCTTTCTCTCCTGCACCTTCTCGTCCTCCCCCTCTTCCCCTCTGACTGCCACTCCAGCTTCTCAAGAGACTGCAGCTCCCTCCGACAGAGGTCTGATTGTGCATTCTGTGCGGTGAGCATGTAAGAACTTCTGTGACTCCTTCCCAGTGCCCCACACGAACTGGTGCCTTGCTGAGGAAACTGTGGGTACTGAGGTGCTAGTAGGGCCATTTGTCAAGCAAATCTGGAACACATGGGAAAAACTTAGACCCTCTTATAAAGGGAAAGGAACGTGCACTTACTTTTTCCTTAATACCAGTAAGACCACCATTAAGAAAATTACTCTCTATTAGTTTCTTTCATCCCAGGAGTTCAGATGCATAAGTAATAGTATTTCCAGGTATTCTGTTTTCTTTTTAGTTTGGAAGAACTTACAGTGTTAAGAGAATTCATCAAAGTTAGTAACTCACAGGCCACAAACTCAAGAATTTTACTCCTTTCTTAGGTTAACCCAGTCTCTGTGTCACTCTGGGAACACTGAACTTGTTACTCTGTGATTGCTTTAAATGTCTTTCTGCTGTAACAGACTTCATAAAAGCTCCCTGTCTGTATTTCTATCTTAAGCCCTAACACAGGACCTGATTGATAACAGGTTTTCAGTGAGTGTTGAATGAAAACAAACTCACGTGGCAATTATTTTTAAGAAGTATGGAGGGAACACAGAAAATGAAGCTAGTGATTCCGTTTTGGGGAATCAAGCCAGGCTTCACAGAAGAGTTGGCGTTTGAGCTGGGTCTTCAAGGAACAGTTGCATTTCCTCAGATAGACAAGGGCTGAGAAGGGGCATGCGGAAGTCTTACTTGCTGGGATTTCATGTAACTGGGTGGTCTGTGAGCTAGATTG